GAGTGCTCTTTTCACATTAGTGAGAAACAGTGATCTATAGAATTGAGTCTAAATCCCAGAGCGGGGCATGTGAAGTCCTCACGGTGCTGCTCTTCTTTCCTCATCCCTCCCGGCTCATCTGTGCGCGTCCACTTCTTCTCTTAGCACTTAGTGTTACAGAGCTTACCAGTTGCCCTGCCTGCGTAGTTTTTCAGCCCTCTGTGCTTTCACTTTTGCTCTTCGTCTACACTCTGCACTCCCAGCTTTGGTTTTTGTATCTTAATCATCCTTTCAAGATCTAGCCTAGGTGTCATTTCCTCTATAACCATTTCTAGAACTCCAGGTTGAAATGTAATTCCTCCTGTGGACCAGGGACACCCTGTATTCATCTCTAGCCAGTGGCTAGAGATGGTAGAGTTCATTCCCTCACTCTACCATGAGCTTCTCGAGAGTAGGCATGGAACTCCTGCCACCCAGCCCAGACCCTCACATGCCAGTAGTCACTCGGCCGATATTACAGTAAACCACCCCTGGTAAACCGTATTGGGTGTTTGGATTTTTTTATTTCCAATACTCAGAATTGAATATGCTTTGAAAAATGATAGAAAAATGATAGTTGAAAAATGTACTAGATTTATAATCAGGGGAGCTGAATTCACATCTTGGCCTGTCATTTATTCTTAGGTACAGAATGGAGATAAATAATCACCATTGCATACTGTTTTTGCAAATGTGCAAAATTCTGGGACAATCTCTGGCAAACAGGCATATATTCATTAAATACTAGTTTCCTTACTATATTAATATATTATTGTGTTATTTCTTTTTATGGCCTCTAGTGATTTGAAATTATTTTTGTTATCCATGAGGCTTCAAATATATATACCTCCTTCTTGCACTTAGATTGAAGTCTAGTATTAGTTATTTTCCTAAACTGAGTTTCAACATTGCTGTATAAAGTAGGTGACGCAATCAATTTTTCCTCTTCATCCTCATAGGATACTTCACTCTCTTTAACTATTTATATTTATTCAGAACATATTTCTTTTCTTTTATTGCCACAGGCACAAGAGAACCTCTGCTTTGTTCTTATTACCTAGAGAAATCTGTCTTCTTCCATCTCTTTGTGGTCTGTTTCCATCAGAAAGTATCTACTTTGAGAAATATTTTCTTTACCTGCATTATATTATTGAATCTTTTATGCTTTCATATGGATATTAGACCTTATTGATTCAGTTCTTCTAGTAATAGGCTTAGGTTTCTCAATAATACGAAATTTATTATAAAAGTAAGTTATATGGAATTGAACAGTATGGAAAATTTCTCTAAGCCATGGATTCCCAGCTCTTACTTGTGTTTTATAAACAGAAATAGATATAATATAGATATGGAAGCAATTGAGACAGATGTAGCTGATGCTGACAAGGAAAAACAAAAAAGGAGTGAAAGACTGCGTTTTGTTTATTATGGGATGAAATGCCAACTACAAACTATGGGAGTTCCTAAAAGAAAATTCTTAATAATGCATATTTACTGGTACAAGAAAGTTCAGGCTAGGTGGAAGAGGAAAGCTTCACAGATACAGGAATAACCAAAGGATGAACCAAGCTACAAAGCGATGTGATCAGTGTCACTAGAGACAAAATATCTGAGTTTCAACTTAACATCTTGAGGATAGGAATAATGCAATCACTTTGTCATGAAGTAGCAGGCATGCATCGATGACCCACAAGAAATCCCTGCTATCACAATTATTCTCTGGTTTTGTGCCATTCTATGTGCCACAAGTGTTTTGGTATTGAATTAAGGCTGCACCTGTCATATCCTGCCTTTTCACCTTCAGCTTTCTTTCTGAATTCAATTCAAATTAACACCTTAGTGCATTTTGGTGGAGAGATTCATGACTAACAGGAAAAAAACAAACAAACAGTACCAAAAACTGAGTATTTGGAACCTCAGAAGAAAGGCATTTGGTTCTGTTTTTGTCCCCTTCATCACAATCATGAAGAGTACCACTTTACCATCTGGTAGGAAATAAAAGAGAACCTTAGGGTCTTGTTTTCTAAGTTGGGAATAAAGTCATTTGAGTTGGCAAATTTCAGTGAACAGTTACAAGTTTACAAGTACTGACCTCAGGCATTTTTGTATCCATGTTGCCTGCATTTGGACCAGAGTTAACATATGTCATTGCTAGAGACTGAGCACTGTTTGACAGCTTGCACAAAGAAAAGAAATTGACAGAACTCCATGTGTTTCTGCTTCCAGATCTCTTGTTCAATATTAACTATCTGTTTAAAAAATAAAATAATTAGGGCTGTTATGACATGTACATCTGATTTCATGATTTTTTGACTTGCCCTCAGTGTTCACTTTAACTTCTTTAAGGCTACCAGTATTCATTTATATTTCAGACTGGTTTAAAAAAACAGTTCTTTGGGCGCCTGGGTGGCTCAGTCGTTAAGCGTCTGCCTTCGGCTCAGGTCACGATCCCAGGGTCCTGGGATCGAGCAGGGAGCCCGCTTCTCCCTCTCCCACTCCCCCTGTTTGTGTTCCCTCTCTCGCTGTGTCTCTCTCTGTCAAAAAAATAAATAAAGAATCTTTAAAAAATAATAAAAAATAAAAAAAAAACTATTCTTTCTGTGCTTTTGTGTCAGCTACTGTGTATACAAGGTTACAGCCCTTGCCCATAAGGACCTTGTAGGCTATTGGAGGAGAATATATTCTATCAAGAAAATGACAAGACAAGCTACAGGCTGGGAGAAAATATTTGCAAAAGACATATCTGATAAAGGACTGTTATGTAGGTTCATTAATTGTAACAAACGTAACAAATTTATTAGCCTGATACGGGAGAGGGAAGCTATGCCTGTGTGGGGTCAGCATGTGTATGGGGACTCTGTATTTTCCACTCACTTTTGCAGTGAACCTAAAACTGTTCTAAAAAAAAATAAAGTCTATTTTAAAAAACGATAAAGCCAATACATCATGCTACGATAAAGCCAATACATCATGCTACGAAACAAGGGTTATAAGAAGTGTAGTAGCCCAGAGAAGAGGGGCTTTATTCAACCTAGTGAGATTTGGAGATTTCACAGAAGTGGTGACCTTTAGACTGGGATTTAAAAGACAAATAGACTTTTACCTGTAGAAAGGTACAAGGCAGGAATTAGGTAAAGAAAGAGAAGGGGGGAGGAGGTGAGGAAAGGGGTTAAGAGAGCGGGGGAAAGGAGCAGCAGGGAGGAAGTATGACATACTCTGTGACTGCCTTATAATTCTGACTGAAACCTGAGTTTATGTAGTCACAGGTCATTGGACTTGTGGGACATGTTGTGAATTGTCATTTTGTCCATCATGCTGATTGGTTTGGAGTCTAGGGAACAAGCCATTGGCTGTTCATGAATAGAAAAGAGCACTTACTGTGTGCTTACAGTTGTTGTTAGGGATTATCACATGTAAGCCTCATGTTATGGAACCCAAGTACAGCTGTCCATCACCTGAAAGATCATCTCTCAAGGGACAAGTTTTGATTGGAAAGAAATTTGAACTTTATTCAGGAAGCTGGGAACCTGAGGAGAAGGTGGACTCTTGTCTAAAAGCAAACTGAGGTTTCTCCTTGACCCAAGGGTTTTTAAAGAGGTTTAGGATGGTTGATCAGCAAAGGGAATGCAGTGACCTTCAACATTTCTTTTTTTTTTTTAATTTTATTTTATTATGTTATGTTAATCACCATACATTACATCATTAGTTTTTGATGTAGTGTTCCATGATTCATTGTTTGCATATAACACCCAGTGCTCCATGCAATATGTGCCCTCCTTAATACCCATCACCGGGCTAACCCATCCCCCCACCCCCCTCCCCTCTAGAACGCTCAGTTTATTTCTCAGAGTCCATAGTCTCTCATGGTTCGTCTCCCCCTCCGATCCCCCCCTTCATTTTTCCCTTCCTACTATCTTCTTCTTTTTTTTTTTTAACATATAATGTATTATTTGTTTCAGAGGTACAGGTCTGTGATTCAACAATCTTACACAGTTCACAGCGCTCACCATAGCACATACCCTCCCCAATGTCTGTCATTCATGCAGACTCAATGATGCCAACTACAGAAGTTATCTCAGTGAGAGGGGGTTGTGCAGGAGGGTCTGGTTCTTGTTCCGTGATGTGCTGGAATGCTCTCTTCTCTCTGGAGGGGAAGGCAAGGTCTACAGATGCACAAAGGGAAGTCAGTAAAGTCATCTGTGTAACTAAAAAAGAAAAACATTTTGCTAAAGAACTACCAGACTAAGGGGCGCCTGGGTGGCTCAGTTGATTAGGCGACTGCCTTCAGCTCAGGTCATGATCCTGGAGTCCCGCGATCGAGTCCCGCATCGGGCTCCCTGCTCGGCAGGGAGCCTGCTTCTCCCTCTGACCCTCCCCCCTCTCCTGCTCTCTCTCTCTCTCTCAAATAAATAAATAAATAAATAAATAAATAAATAAATAAATAAATAAATAAAAGAACTACCAGACTAATCAGAAAGCCGAGGTGGTAGTTCTAACAGACTTTCTGGCTTCTGTGGCCTGGGAAAGTTCTAGTCCTTCACTCCTCAAGGCCAGTGGTCTACATATCTCAAAGAAAGTAAATTAGTTCTGTTACAGATCAAGGACCTTAGGTTAGCAAGTAAGGAGTGTACTAACTTGAAGCAAGGGAACCCTTAAGACCCGCTGGAGTGCTGTTCCACACACAGCACACGTTGGAGCTGGGCATTATTGTCTCAGTTTGCCCTTGAAGAGACTAAGGCAAAGAGAGGTTAAGTAACTGCCTGAGTACATACAGCTAATCAGTAGCAGAGCTGAGACTCAAACCAGGCGTCATGGTATTAAAGCTATAGGACTGGTCATACTCTAAGGAGTGGTGTGAGTGAAGCATTCAGAGGGAGGAACTAAACGTAGATCAGATGTCATTGCTTATCTTTTGTTTTTCCAGGTCTTTTTGCAAGGAAATAGACAGCTTCAATCAACGGCAGTTCTGTGACACCTTCATCATGTTTCTCTTGACCAAAAATGCACTAAATAGGTTCAAGATTCAAAGCATTCAACAAATTAGGTCAAGACAGAGCCACGAAAATCGTTCACAAGATTTCCATGACAAATACGGTAACACTGTACTAGCCAGTGGGACCGCTTTCTGTGTTGTTGCATGGATGTTTATAGCCACACAGATTGGAATAGAATGGAACCTGTCTCCTGTTGGCAGAGTCGCTCCAAGAGAGTGGAATGATGAGTAGCCATCGAAGTTACTGTAACACAAAATTGTTTCAAAATCAGCTTGTCATTTAAGCACTCTGCTGCTCATTAAAATATAGCATAGTTGAAGAAATAAAATACATTTGAAACCTTTAAAAAGTTGTTTGGTTAAGCGACTGCCTTCGGCTCAAGTCATGATCCCAGGGTCCTGGGATCGAGTCCCGCATCAGGCTCCCTGCTCGGCGGGGAGCCTGCTTCTCCCTCTGACCCTCTCCCCTCTCATGCTGTTTCTCTCTCTCTCTCTCTCTAATAAATAAATAAATAAATAAAGTATTTAAAAAAAAAAGTTGTTGAAAATACTCATTATAGTGCCTAAAAGCAAGACAGTAGCAATGGCTACAGGTTATAGCAGATTATGAATAATAAATATTTGAAAGTAGAGTTAATCATGTATTTTCTGTCTTAATGATTTACACTAGGTATCCCTTAGTGGGTATACACACATATGTACTTTACAAATTAGTTGAATTGTTTGGCAAATTCTGTTGAATCTTTCCTTAAAACATATTCATGATAAAAAGAAACATATGCATAATCTGACTATTTTTCACATCCTTAATCTTTCCCGCCATGATCTGAATCACCATACTCTCACTGGGGTTATTATAAAAACTTTCTCACCAGTCTCCTTCTTCAACACATGATGTACCCCCCAAACCTGCATCCTCTACCCCACCACACACAACTTTTTTTAACACAGAAGCCAGGATGATCATTTTATTTTATTTTATTTTTATTTATTTATTTGTCAGAGAGATAGAGCCAGAGAGCACAAGCTGGGAGAATGGCAGAGGGAGAAGGAGAAGAAGGCTCCTCGTTGAGCAGAGGGCCTGATGCGGGGCTCAGTCCCAGGACCCGGGAATCATGACCTGAGCCAAAGTCAGATGCTTAACCGACTGAGCCACCCAGGCACCCCCCGAATGATTATTTTAAAACATTAGTGATATCACTCCTCTTTTCAAAACCCAATGACTCCACATTTCACTCGAGAGTTAAAGCCAAAGTCCTTAGAAAAGTACACAGGCCCCCTAGATGCTGTACTGGTCAGTCTTACTCCTGTATCAGGACATTTCCATTTGCTCTTTTCTCTGCTTGGAATGTACTTCCTCCAGATCTTGTATGACTCATTTCATCATACTTTTCAGGGTTTTGTTCATATGTCATATTTTCAGAGGAGGCCTCTGACTACCCTTTTTAAAATCACAGCCCGTCCTTAGTTTGGGCTTTGTCTGTCCTGCTTCCTTGCTTTATTTTTCCCCATAGCAATTGTCATCATCTGAGATAAGATATATTTTGTTTATTGTCTGTGTGCAAAGCTCCATAAAAGCATAGTTTGGAAACTGGGTTTTTTGTGACTTTATCCCTGTAACAGGGCTTGATAGATTAGACCTTCAGTAATTATTGGTTGAATTAATGAATATTAGTCTACAAATAATGAATTTGTTTACGACTGTGGGTTTGCAATGATTATTGGAGAGTATATTGGTTATCTATTGCTATTTTATAAATTGCCCTAAAACTCAGTAGCTTAAAACAATAAACATTTATTATCTCACCGTTTCTGTGGGTCAGGAATCTCAGCTGGATATCTCTGGCTCAGGATCTCTCACTTCTGTAATCTGAGTGTCAGGGCAATAATCATTTCAAGGTATAACTAGGATAGGATCTATATCCAAGCACATATGACTGTTCACTGGCCTTAGGACTTCACTGAATATTGGCTGAAGATACCAGTTCCTTTTGTGTAGTTTTCTCCCTGGGGCAACTCACAGTCTAACAGAGTAAAGGATACAGAAGCCAAGGTCTTTTGTAACCTAATCTTGCAAGTGACATTCCATCACCTCTACCATATTTTGTTCACTAGAAGTGAGACACTAAATCAAGGCTATAAAAAAGGAAAGGGGATTATACAAGGGCATGATTACCTCAAGGTAGGGATCATTAAGGAATACCTAACACAGTCGACACTGGAGACGACCTCCTCCTGGATGACTAAACTCAAGATAAATGTATCTCAATGTCAAATATACGTTAATACTGTTACTCTGTAGACAAAGGACATTATGTGTTCCTTCCCAGTTTTACTATGTGAAAGTTCCTCTAGGGTCCTTCCTAGGTGTAGAATTGGTAGTTCTTAGGGAATGCTCATTTTCAGCTTTATCAGTATTGCTGGATTATTTCCCAAAGTGGTGAAATAGTTTACATTCTCACCAGTAATATATACAATTTCCTTTTTTTCCACGTCCAAACTCACTCTTAGGAGTTTTCATACATTTTAGTATTTGCTGCTTTGATGAGTGTGAAATAGTACCTCATGTTTTAATCTGTATTTCCTGAACCTAATTACTGATGAGGTCCAGCATCCTGTGTTAGCCTCTGTGTGTGTGTGTGTGTGCATGCATGCACGTGTGCACACAACTTTTCTGTTTCTTTTTCCGTTTGTCTATTTAGTTGTTTGCCTTGCTCATTTTGTAAAAGTTTTTAAATAAATTCTAGATACTAATTGTATCAGTCAGGGTTTAATCAGAGAGGGAGAACCATATAAGTAATATAGAATCTCAGATTAATTATGGGAATTAGAACCGATGCAGTGGCGAGAGCCAGTGGAGGCGTTTTTACAAGGCTGTTGCCTTGCCATCTGGTACCGAGTGAGTTTTCAGTAGAGCAGGGAAGCTGGATGTGGAGTAGGGGAGAGCAAAAACCAACTGGAATTAGGAAGGATGCACTGGAATCATGTCTATAAACTAAACCCTGTGCTTGTTTTGTCACTGTCTATAATTAAGATGACATGGATGACTTATGGGAGAAGTTGGTGCCCTTCACTGTGGAACTGAACATTCACCTGACCCAGTACTCCAAAAAGCTAAAGATCTGGTAGAAGTTTAAATAGCTATAGGTCCAGGCGTTGTTCCTTATCAATAAAGCAAGCCAGAAGATCAGCAACGGCATACACAAGCTGCACAGTGCCCAGTGTTTTATGCCAGCCTTCCAAGTACAAAAAGGTTGCTATTTTATGTCTGCCATCCCTATATAATACATATCTGTCTTGTGGTTAACCCTAATCTAAAACCACAGAGGGAAGGAATTCTGGAAAATGTAGTTGAAGCCTAGCTAAATTGACACATAGAAAGCCACAGTAATCCACCACTTGTCAATTTGACGTAAGTGTACATCTTTCCTAACTTTATTTGTATTTCAAATAAAGACAATAACAAAAATATGCTTTTACCTAACATAATGCAACTTCCCCTCATAAAACTAATACACTAGTCCTGTCCCTAAAAAAGTACACGAAATCCCTTTACAAACCATCACAGGGTGACACTGTCAACTTCTAGTTTAGTGGAGGCATTTATGTGATCCCTAGTAGAAGCCTAAAACCGCTAGACCAGCAAAACCCAAAGTTATAGAAAGAATATTTCTCTAGTGGATCACTAGAGGTAATTGTGGTAGGACCCATTCTCATCTCTACTTGTTGATTCCCAGGCCTGAAATTCCCAGCTCTGGGAAAATAGCACTATGTATTTGTTGGTCATTTAGAGCATGGAAGACATTACCTCAGCCTGGCAAGGTAGTGTTATCTAGCTGTTGCCATAACTAACACTTTTAAAAGGTTATTGCACCATTCTATCAGTGATAGGAAAATAGTAAGATCAGTGAATTCCATAAGCATGAATCCATTAATGTATTTCATTTGCTATAAAGTAAGTTTCTTAGTCAGGATCAGTGCTTTGTTGTGTACCAACGTACTAAATAAGGCATTTAGCAAGTTCATGGATGATGGTATTCATAGAAAAGTTGCAGGGACAGATGGTAAATCTACATTGTTAAGTGTCTGAAGTGGTTCAAGGAATGCTGCTAAATGTAGGTGCATTTGTGGCCTGTCCATTGGTAGATTGGGTGTATTCATCGGTGTCTAGAGTCAGACTAGTCTTGATGGGGGCAAGTCCATTTTGTGAGCCCATAGGTAATCATCCCTGCTGTTGTGATCACTTACGTCCGAGGCACTGAGAATGCATAGTTAGGGTGGCTGAGAAAGAGAGTAATAGCCATACGAATGGGTCATCTTGTCCACCTGATTATTAAGATGATATTCTGCTGACTAGTCTTTTATGTGTATTTATATGGGACCTGAATATCTTCCCACTCTGTGCCCATTTAGAGAAGTCTGTTCACATAATCCATTCCCAAACTTACTGTCACCAATTTTGCAGTAGTGTTCCTTTTAATTCCATGATCAGTTTGTCACGCCATTAGTTGGTCCCCATGACTTGGTATGGAATTGTACCTCTGGTAATTTTTCCTTCCAAGTAAAATGAGCAACTATGTGTTCTACTTAAAATATGGTCCATCAGGAAGATTTCCCGTCATCTTCAGTGTCAACTTGGAATTCAACTGTATTGCTGAAGCCCTCCACTTTCAGTTATGGCCAGCTGGTTTCGCAGAACCAGATTTGAATTTTTTCTTCCTCAGTCCACTTGTAATAGGAAATTCCCCATATGGCCATATACACCTGTATACCCTACTAAGTTCAAAGTGAATGAAACTTTCCCACACAACTTGTAAACTGTGGAACCAGGAGTCAAACTTTATTTTTTTTTTAAGATTTTATTTATTTATTTGAAAGAGAGAGACACAGCAAGAGGGAACACAAGCAGGGGGAGTGGGGGAGGGAGAAGCAGACTTCCCACAGAGCAGGGAGCCCAATGTGGGACTAGATCCCAGGACACTGAGACAATGACCTCAGCCGAAGGCAGACGCTTGATGACTGAGCCACCCAGGCGCCCCCAGGAGTCAAACTTTAGAACCTGTTCTTTTACTTTCAAGTTACACTGTTATCTTTTTTCAGGTATACATGTTGGAAATTCTGGAAAGATTCAGGCTGGAATTAGGGAAGATAGGGAGCAAATCACAGATTGTTGTGAAAACCTTGGGAGTGAAAAATATTATCAAGAGAGTAGATCAACAAGGAAGTAGAGAA